TAGGCCCTGACAGTTTGCAAAGTACTCCTGAAAAGTGCTTCCTATGCTGCGCTGCCAGCAACTTACAGAGAATTAGGAGCGGATACTAGGAAAATATCTAATTGTGTACTCGCTGGGAGGCTATGTGGTGGTGGGCTGCTGTTTCCTGTAAGTGGCTGGCTGCTGCTGTTGCAGCCAAGGGACCACCTGGGGTTCTGAAGGAGGTCTTTTTGGTTTGTAAAAATCATTATGATCAGCTAACTGATGTGGGCAGAACATAAGGATGAACAGAATTAATCTATAATGATAATGCTTAAGTTGGTTATTTTATTTTCCTCTTGGGCTCAAGGAATTTGGATCACTAACTATACAGTTGAATTAGCTGCCAAGTGTAAACTTAGTGATCTATCTCAAATTTAGTTGAACTACAATATGTAAATATTAGTCAGGTACTGACAGAGCTATTATCTAACATAGAGCAGGGCCAGCATGAGGTTCATAAGGCCCATCGCATTTGGGGCGTAGTCAACATTAAAATAATATGCAGACTGGAAAATCTTATGCTTTGCACAAAAGCGTCCCAAATACGTTACTTCTCACTAATTACCAATGGTTACAGTGTGCATAAAATGTCACCATAGGTAGCACAATAAGAAAATATTTTTCATAGCAATTTTTTTATTTGAAATTAAGATTTCAACTTTTTTCTTGTTAAAATGTAAGACTAAAAACTGTTATGTTAATCATGATTAATCAATTATTTTAAAATATGACCTTATTCTGTAGTTAAACTTTAAGTGGAGTATACAGAACCCAAAGAATGCTATTTACTGAAACTCAGCCAACTCAAAGACGTAATTAGTCCAAAACAGTGCAAAATATATATGCATATCTTCTTTTTTTTTAAGGATAAAAAAAAAAAAGCTCTGTTCTATCCAGAGCTTCTCAAGTGGCAGAGTTTAACCTCAACTGGTTCTGATTGTAAAAAAATTACTAAAAAAAGTACCTTTTGCTCTTAATTTATTATTATTATTATTATTATTGTTATTGCTAAATAAAAAGTAATGGCAGATAAATCGGTTGGCAAAATAATCATAAGTTGCATACAAAGAACCTAATATGTGTAGAGAATATCTCTGCCAAATGGTTGAAAAGGCAAGTTTGCTTCTATGTTCCAAATATTCACAGGCAGAGTGCGTAATACGAGGGGGTCTGGGGGGGCTTGACCCCCCCAATTAACCCATGAAACCCCCTGAAAGCCTCAAAAGCAAAATTTGAAGGGGGTCTTAAATTGTGTCAAAACATTGAAAATAAACATTTTTTGTCACCAATGGTCACTAAAATATTTTTAAGCTCATCATGTCCAATATTTAAAATTCAAAACATTTATTCACAAATACGTTCAATTTTTTGCCAAGTGGAGCCAGCCAATCCTGTTCGCGTATGCAAATTAGCCATGTGCTCTTCAGCACTTAATAACACAACCAGACGCGGAACAGATTGCGTGAAGAGAGCATGTCTTCACTCCTGTTTGTGGACCTCAATGGACCTCGTCTGGACAAATTCGACCCAGTTTCATTCGTCAGAAACTAGATTAAAGCAGGACATCGCCTCTCTTCTTCCTGGAAACCAGGACGGCAACCACAAGAAGGCATCTTTGGTCGGTTCTAACCTAAGGTAAGAGGCTATTTTATAAATTGTCCTGTATGTAGGCCTTGTGTTTGGTTGTGGTCTTAGTAAAGCAGCCTAGCCTTGGAGTTGGAGAGTGATTGTATATGTGCGTGCATGCGTGTGTGTGTGAAAGAGAGAGACAGGCAGAGAGAGAGACAGAGAGAGACAGAGAGACAGACAGTCTTTGTGCATGTGTGTGTTTCCATAGACTGACTGTTCAGGCTCTTGACCGCTCCACCAGATTCACAAAAAGCTTCATTCTCCTGCCATTACCATCTGACTTTTTGCACTAGCATAAGCATTGTTTATTTTATATTATTGTACATTTTATATTTTATTGTGAAATTGAATGTTTAAATTTTTGTATTAGGAACTGATCTTATCTGTTGTGCCTGTGCACTTTATCTGTTTCACTGTTGATGAATGAGAAACGTCCTCTCGAGTCCTTGTATGTCTGGTGAATGTGAAGAATTGACATTAAAGCTGACTTTAACTTTGACATTGTAATGGTATAGGCCTATTGCATCTTGAGAAAATTTTGATTGGTATTGCACAACAATCGGGAGATGGGGACCCCCCCAAATATTGACAGGTATTTCGCACACTGTTCACAAGTTTTCCTTTTTTCTAGTGGTCTAAAAAAATAGTGAGGACAATCCCTTTTACAGATATAAATTTAATAAATTCCAATTCATATTTTAAAAAACAAACTTTTAAGCACTGAAATACCCAACTCATAATTTGGTCTCAAAAAACTTTAGATCTGCATGACAATGCTTAAAAAGAATTATTTTGTCTGTCCCTTTCTTCCTATTTATATATTTTTTTATTATACAGGAAATAAATAACAGAAAATCGGAATGCAGCCGGACTGATTGTTTTTGTTGGGCTGGTTGACATTTTTTTTCTGTCACCAACTGGTTCAGACCTTATATCGCTTCTCAAACCTTTTACCAGTCTGCTTTAGAGATCGACTAATACATTTTTTTTTTAGGCTGATGTTGTTACCAGTTATTTAGAAGTAAGCCTACACAATTCACAGTGCTATTTTGGGACGATTGTTGGAGCTTATATTGCCTTTCCTTCCTCAATTTACATGATAAAAATAACGCAATAGGCCTCATACAACATTTTAGTATTCTTCTTCATACTCTTTCTTTTACTTTTACTCCAACTGTTGGCTGTTCCGAATGTGCCACATCATATTCAAAAAACTTTCTTAAGTAAATGATAGGAAATTATCTTTGTAAACCTTATGCAGTCCACCTGTTAGGTTAGTGAGTTTTCTCGATGTAAATCTGCATAATTCCTGCCCCAATAATACCATGTAAGGCTGCATATAAGTGGGAAGGCTATGAATTACCACGTTTATCAGGTTTTCATTTATAACAATAGAATTGACTATCAGAAAAAAATTACTGGTTTGGACATTGAGAATCTGCTGACTGAGAGCTTAGCAGCTGAATCAAAGGACCAGTACAATCCATACAGGAAAATAAATCAAAGTGTCTAAGGAAGAGGAGTTGTTGGTCCTATTAGGGAGAGTTTGAGATAAAAGTAATCCTTCTCATAACATTATAGACTTGAAATTAAGACATTTTACTGTTTTTCCCCAACTGTCTCTAATGGTTTTGATTAGCTGTGCTCTGACAACCTTCACAGCCGTTCTATTGGGTTTAAGTTAGTGAGGGGAACTTGTGTCTGACCACAACAGGGAAGAACATCGACCTGAAAGGGCTGTTGTGATTGTCTTGTTCTTTTTTTGCAAAGAGGGATAATAAAATGCCAACTGAGTGAATTAACAGCTATCTCCTTTATTTAACGGGATTGCAAAGCTGAATCCCACAACAGCTGTAAATGCAGTGGTTGCACTATTATAGAAACCAAAATAAAAATCCTGATCTGAAAAAACTCAATGAAATCCACTAGGGGAGGGAAGAGGAGCAATATATGAAGTAAATGCTTAATATGAGTTCTATCATCAGTAAAATGTAAATTTAAGGATGTAGCCTAAAAAATTGACAATTGCTCCAAAGAAAAGCAGATGAGGTCATTAAGTGAAAAATTAGGGTTGGATAAAAGCTGACCAATTGAGCAAGTCTGGAGAACTTGTAAAATTTGTTAATTCCTGAGAAAATAGAAGTAGGAGAAAAATGGTGAATGTTACATTTTCTCCTAAATTACTTGTGCAAACAATGTAGGAATGGATTCATTCGTACAAACACTTCTTGAGTGAGGCCCAATTATAGCAAATGTTCACAAGTCTCAAATTAAACTAAAAATAAATGTTTATTAAAACATCACGCAAAGTAAAAACAATGGATAGCAGATGAAGGGAGAGGAAATGCAGACACGTATTGGATTATACCTATATTAGCATTTCACAATCATAATATCAGCCAAAAATATTGGCTGGCTGATGCATCAGCCAGCCAAATTCTCTAGTTTCCTCTCTAACAAAAATAGACTATTCACACTTTCAAGAAACTTTCGAAATGAAACACAGACTCAGGCTAAAAATCAGGTTCTCTGAGGTTTCTCAAGAAAGAAAATTAAAAGTTTTTTTTAAATGATTTAAATTATGGGGCTGCTCTGGTGTGCAGTGGGTAAAAATATATATTTTATTTCTCATCCAAATTTAACGGTTACTGATATTTACTAACTAATCACCTATTTTGATATTTATTTATTTAGTTGTGGAATTGTGGCACTTTTGGATTTCCATAGAATTAAGTGCATAGTATGTTGTTTTTTTAATAACTGCAAAATTTATTGATTGGTTTATTTTATTATTATTTATTTTATTGTTTCCAACAGTCGCAATAAGTGACACTGAATGTCAGCCCTGTGTTGTGACAGCAGGACCCTCGGAGGGCTGCAGCATCAGGACCAAACTATAGAGCGATGCGCCTGCGGAGCCACAGCGAGATAAAGTGTTGCAATAAACTCCTAAACAGAACTCAATGCCCCTGAAACAAACTAAGGAAGAAGTCTAAAATTCATCACAACCCCCTTTAAATGTCTCTACTTCACTCTTAAAATTAATCCGTTTTATAATTTATGAAGAGAGGTTTACTCGAATATATATTTTCTTGTATAGCCTACAGTAAAATCGTGTTTGTTTGGTTGCTGTTTTTTTTTTTTTTTTTTTTTTTTTTTTTTTTTTTATCAAAATGCATTGTTCTCCCTCTTACTGTCACCATTACTCAACAGTTTTTTTGTCAGGGAAACATCCATTTAATACAAACAATTTGTAAGAAATGTGCTGTATGGTGCAGGAAGCAGATGAGACCGCGTCGTTTCCGATAACCGCCGAGAAACATTTCGCGCTTTCAGAGATCCTAACTTACCTTGGCAGCAAAAAGCGCTTCTAAATTCAAGATCCAGTGACTGTCGAGAAGTCGAGTGTGACCACGGAGAACCGCAACACTTCCCCCGAATCTGAGCGTTCCGGCGAAGTTTGGAGGTATAAAAGTACTTCGAGCCAAATACTTGCGCTCCTGCAGTTAGTAGTACTGTACCATCTGTTGTGCCGTGCGCATCGAGCAGCGCGCGGCGAGGAGAGGAGAGGAGGAGAGAGGCTGCAGGGGGGTCCAGAGCGAATAACCCCCAGAGGATGTGGAAGCGCACACTCATGTAAGATTACGGAGCCATAAAAGCTCATTTAAGTTGCACCAAATAAGCAGCGTCTGACAACTTTTAATTAGTAAGAGGAGACCCGAAAATATGCATTTAGTTTAAATGCTTGGTTGGTTCCTCCATTTCTGTGGAACATATCAAAGGCGCAGAGGAATTTTGTGGGCGTCGTGGTAAAATAAAAAAAACAAAAGCAAAACAAAACTTAAAATTATTAATATTTTATTGCTGTGGATTATTCGTAGCAGGATATAAAAAAAAATCAGGCTTTAATTTCAAGCAGGCTATATTTATCGAGTAATATTACTCAAATATCCAATAAATGATTGCTTTTTCGTAGACTATTGACACAATACTAGCACTAATAACAATAACTGGAACATTTATTTATTTTATTGTAATTCAGTAAATCATTGTTTCTGACCTCCTGATTTTCTATGGAGTAAAAATGGTCACGGTCTTGGTTCTGTTATGTTTTACTTTGCTCCATGTTTTCTAGTTTTAGTGGTTTAATTCCTATTTTGCTGTATTTTCTGGATATATTTGAGTTCTAAGGTTTTTATTTGTTGCCCGCTTGTGTCTGTCTTCTTTTCCCTAGCTCCTTCTAGTGGTGTAAATAATCGTTTTGTATCGATCCAACAGCCGACGATCCCATGCATCGACACCCCAGCAAAAGTATCGATTCAGCTCTTCTAGCGGGTCCAACTTCAAGAGTTGTTTTCCGCAGTTTCGGTCATAAAAAAAAAAAAACAAGCCGGCCTCCTGTCTGCGGCACTGTCTGTGGTCTCCTACAATTTGGGAGAGGTGCAGCGGAGTGTCTGTGGAAGGCGTGGGGACGTCGACACTCTGGAGCCGAGGTATTGCATTGTATTCATTGCACTGATATTGTGCAGTATTTTTTAAGCAAGGCCATTCAGAATCTATAACGCAGGGGCATTATTATTTTTCAGTGAATGAGGTTTAATAGGCCTAGGTGTAGTACAACTTTTCTACTTCTGCTATTTGCTGTTGTTTCTTAAATAAAATGCAGAACGATATTACAGCTTTTATTAATATATTTCAAATTTGAAACATTGTCTAGCCTGTAAGGTTAAAAAAAAAAATTGAACGAATTAATCGAATCGTATCGTGGTGTATTCTTGAGTATCGAAAATAATCGGATCATTGGGTCAGGAAATCGATACTGAATCACATCGCCAAGAGGGGTGTGCCCCTTCCTAGACTGCTCTCTTCACACCTGCTCCCAATCTGCTTGTTAGTACTCTCTTTGTTCAGTCTACCATAAATACTCTCCTTGTGCAGTTCCTCAGCTCTGGTTCCTCGTCGTGGTCCGTCTTACTTTGTCTTACTTCATATACCCTGGCTCCTCATTTTTGTTTTCCCCTGATGTCTCCATGGTTGTGGTTTGTTTTATATTTTTTATGTTGGATTTTTGGATTCCCGCCTCTGTTACCTGTGTTTATTTCATTAAAGCTATAAAGACCCACCTCTGCCTCTCCTCCAGACTAGTGGACTTTTAAGATTGCCATTACAATATTAATGAAACAAAATGACACAATTAAAGATTAACTGCTTAAATTGTCTAACCAACCTCAATGAAAAATTAAATCTCTGCTAGATATTTGAATAAAGGTATCTTTTATTTTTTGCAAAATAACACATACCTTATTTGGCATAAAATTAAAAACATTAATGACAGGCAATCCCTCCACTAAGATTAACTGGAACCCACGGCTAATTCTTAGCATTTGATGCCACATTCTCCTACCCTAAGATGACAAAGTCATGAATGCATTTAGGAAAGCAACTTTAACTTCAGGGTGTTTACTTTTGGGGACAGTTTAAATCCATCCAACTCCAGGAAAAGTTTTTGGAAGAAAAAGTGTACAAAAGTGTAGTGCAAAGTGGGAGGGTATGCCAGGTTCAGGGTATGGCAGTTCTTTTGCACCCTGCAAAAAATACTGTTGTTGAGACTACCTCTTGCTCTGTGTGTGATCCTGTAACGTCTGGACTCGGACCAGTATCAATCCTGCTGTGAGCTAAAGTGCGCATGCGTCATGCGTGCATTTCAAAACGCTGCATTTTTAGACGTTTAAAGTTTATGTAGTATTTTTAGGTTTATGTACATACTGCTATAAAACATTAAACTAGTGTATGGAAATCTAATTAAAACTTAATCTTTCCCCAAAGTTCATGTATTATATTAAAAAAAGGTTTAATTTTACCTCAGAAACTCTAATTTTAACTGAAGCTTAAAAATACAGAAAAAAGATTATGACAAATACTGTAATAGAGTTTACTGCACCAAAAAATGTATGTTTTTCAGTGTAGGTATTGATGTAATAAAAACAAGGAATATTCAGTTTTATTCCTTTCTGTTCTTTTCTGTTCCGTTCTATTCAGCATAAGTGATTTAAAAAAAGATACTTTTTAAATTGATTCAAGAAAGATATTTACTTATACCAATCAAGGTAATTCAGTATACAGTTACAGAAAATAACTAAGAATTATCTTGATTGGTCTGAGTAAAGTGACGTTTGAGGAAAAAGCGCCTGCATCACAGCTTCTACAAGGTGATTGGTCTTTGAATGAGAGAATCTGAAGAAAGCTGAAAATCTCTGAACCAAAGGGGATCTTTGTCTCAGCTACAACAGGGGGGGAAGGTGTGTGACAATAATTCACTGGTCATGCTTTGATCACTGTTTCCTTATTTTTAGCAATGTTGTATCATAACACCTTTACAAAAAGTGGTCACTACAAACTCTGGCATTTTTTGACTCAGCTCCCTTGAAGTCAACAAAATGTTAGTAATTTTCCCTGCATCTTTTCTTAAAATCCTTAGTGGGAGGCTCTTTTTTAATATCTTCACGGGGAACATGAAAGTATCCTTTATTGGTCTTGTGATTTCATCTGTTAGAACAACCTTCAACAACACACGAAAAAGGCATGTTCAAGTGATGATTGAATGCTTGCTAAACACACGGGTCTACTCAACTCGCCCAGCAGACCACCACTTCATGAGACGCATAAGTAATGAGTAAAAAATACATGTTGAAGTCTATGATGGTGATCTGGCTATGATTAATCTGACTAACCTGTTTTTCTTAGAGAGAAAAAACGTTCTTCTCTCGCACTTTCACTTTCAATGAAAGTTAAAAAAGGCCAATATCCTTCTGGTAGAATGGGCATGCACTTTTTTATTAACAGAATCAAAACTGTGCTACAGATCCTGTGATCACATTTTAGGACAAGAGCTCTCGGAGGGAACTCGCTTGGAAGAGCAACATGGGCATTTTGGAAGCTATTTTAATTGCCCTTTACTAATAAACTCTTTACTTGATAGTGTAATGTTGAATGCTAAATTCCTTGGATGCGTTATCAGTAAATTTACTGAAGATTTCAGACAGCTCCTTCAACACCACCAGGGTGTTTTCTCTAGGAATTTTGTATAATATAAAGCTTATGTGTTTTCAAATATTAACCTTGTTAAGTTTATAATTCATTGCATAATAATTGGAATGAAACTTAACAAAACAACAATTAAGAATTTAGATGTGATTAACTCAGAATAAATTGTGTGTTGTGTGTTTTATTGCACTTTTGTCATTTACTATCCAGGTAAATTTGCTGTACACTGAATTTTTGCAGTCTTTGTGCATTTATAAATACGAGAACCCATCTTGTAACAATTCAATTCAATTCAGTTTATTTATATAGCGCCAAATTCACAACACATGTCATCTCAAGGCACTTTACAGTTCAACCAGATCATACAGTCAAATTGATACAAAGTTTTCTATCTAAGGAAAACCAGTTGATTGCATTGACTCATTGACTCAAATGCAATCCCCCACACTAAGCATGCTTGTAGCGACAGTGGAGAGGAAAAACTCCCTTTTAACAGGAAGAAACCTCCAGCAGAACCAGGCTCAGTGTGAGCGGCCATCTGCCGAGGCCGACTGGGGTTCAAGGAGACAGAAGCAGAGATACAAAAAGCAACTGTAAAAGGCGGCCCCGTCCAGGAAACACACAGCCAGGCAGACGAGCTCCAAGGCAGCTTCCATGCCAGAGCACGAAGAGAGCACATCCACTCAGTCACGGTCAGAGTAACAGGACCACACTGGAAAACAGGCCGATCTCCAACATCTATAAACAAGGGTGTTGATAGAAGCAGCACAGCTGATGTTTTTTTCCAGGATGACGTCACAGCCAAACAGGAACAGACGAGGCAAAGCTACTCTGAGGAAAAGCAGAGAGAGCAGAAGGTTAGAGATTGAACTAACAGATTCTGCAGAATAGGAGAACAGAGAGAGAATGAAGCAGAATGATGAAATGGGGGTCCCTATGTCCTCCAAAAGTCTAAGCCTATAGCAGCATAACTATAGAGATAGCTCAGGATAACCTGAGCCACTCTTACTATAAGCTTTATCAAAAAGGAAAGTTTTAAGCCTAGCCTTAAAAGTAGACAGGGTGTCTGCCTCACGGACTAAAACTGGTAGTTGGTTCCACAGGAGAGGAGCCTGATAACTAAAAGATCTGCCTCCCATTCTACTTTTAGAAATTCTAGGAACCACTAGTAAACCTGCAGATTGAGAGCGAAGTGCTCTGTTAGGAACATAAGGAACAATCAGATCTCTGATATAAGATGGAGCTTGGCCATTTAAGGCTTTATATGTGAGAAGGAGGATTTTAAATTCTATTCTTGATTTAACAGGAAGCCAATGAAGAGAAGCCAGGATAGGCGAGATATGAAAATAACACCAAGATTTTTTACTTTATTATCTGAAATCAGTTTAATCCCATCCAAATGAAGTGACTGACTAATCAGCTTCTTTTTCAGAGACTCTGGTCCAAAGACTATAACTTCTGTTTTGTCTGCATTCAGAAGCAGAAAGTTAAGAGTCATCCAGGTTTTTATGTCTTCAAGACATGCCTGTAATCTATGTAATGGGTTAGCTTCATCTGGATTTATAGACAGATATAGCTGGGTATCATCAGCATAACAGTGGAAATTAATCCCATGGTGTCTAATAATTCTACCAATTGGGAGCATGTATAAAGTAAAGAGAATTGGTCCTAGCACTGATCCCTGTGGTACTCCACAGGTAACCTTTGAGCGTGTTGAAGATCTATCATTAACATGAACAAACTGAATTCGATCAGATAGATAAGATTTAAACCAGTCTAGTGCTGTTCCTTTAATTCCAACAAAATATTCAAGTCTTTCTAAAAGAATATTATGGTCAACTGTATCAAATGCAGCACTAAGATCCAACAGGACGAGCACAGTAACACTCAAACTGGTCTCCTTTTGAGACAAGCCCAAAAACGTGTCTGCAATTACATGGGGTATTTTTATTTAAAACGGGACATAGAGGTGAGACAAAAGTAGAGCTGCCTGGCCATAGGAAACCCTAAATAGATATGGCAGCACCGTAGGATGGACGAGTACAGTAGCTGCTGCAACCACATCTGTGTTGTTTGAATCCACAAATTAATCTTTGAAAGAGGAACAACAAGAACGTAATAGTGCAAGCATTCCCAGATCGATCATATGTACAGCTAAATCTGTGAGCAACAGATTTTTAGTCTGGCTTGCCAGGTTAATGGCACTGTGGAGTAATGCACTGTGGAGTACCAACTGTATCCTCTTGTGCAGCTGATATGATCAAAGGCATGCTGATGATACTAATAAAACATGAAACTGATGGTAAACTTGCTAAAACCTTCTATATTTGTAGGTTAATTATTTAGATTGTAAATAAGCATCCTTGTGCAAAGGTGAAAGAAAACTTTGAGGAATTAGCAACGACTTAAAAAAATTCCAATGTGGCTGGTTGATTAAGTGAGTCACATTATCCCTGTGTACAGGCTTGTTCATGATAAAATTAATGGTCAGGAATCAGAAGGACGTGATTCGATTGATGCAAATGATGCAAATTGGCTGAAATGGCAAATGATGGCAATATGTGCAAAAATGACTGTCTCTCTTCCACTGTAATGCAGTTCCTGATACTGGGTTATGGACACACAGAGGCACCAGTGAAACCATCCAGCCACAGCTCCTGGAGCCGGTGGTGGTACTTCTAGGACTGGGAGAGGATTTTGTGGATCAGGGATGCCAAGGCCAACACTGTTGTTCAGCTTTCATACGTGTGCTGTGACTCTCTGTAAATCACTTGGTAAAATTGAGCTCTGTCAAGGTCATTCAAACAGGCAGTGTTGTGCCTGAACGCGTTCATTGAACGAAAGTTCATGAACTCGTTCATATTTTGGGCGAACGTGAACTGAACGTACTGCATTATTGCCTGGTGAACGTTATTGTGAACTCGTTCATTCTGGCGTCTGTGAACGGAGCTCTCTCAGTTCAAGTCCGTTTAACAGGTTGCCAGATTTCTATAAAGCCCTCCAGGCGAAACCCCGGCTAAATCACACCGTAAACAGGCCTTAATATGTAGCGGGAAAAAACACCCAATCTGGCAACACCAGCTACCAGCGTCGTAGCCTACAGCCGCGTGCGTCATCAAAACAAAATGCAGCGTGGAAGCAACAGCAGCATGTAGGCGACTTAAAACAGGTTTATGACCAGGATGATGGCAACAAGTTTGCCCGCCGGCTTTCAGTAAAAAAATCCGCACTTCAGTAACCTTAAATTCCTACCTCAGCCTGGTCCCTCAGTTTGTGTTAGTAAAATGTTCTTGATCGGTCTTCAACGGGGGATCCGCGACCCCTAGGGGGTCTACGGAGGTACTGCATGAGCGTCTGCATGGTTAGTTGATATTTTTATATTCCCCCCCTGCATTTCTTTCCCCCACTAATTGAAATGTCTTTAAATACTCATTAACATGAAATCAACGCACTGTAGTAAACAGATAAATGGAGGCAGAAGATGTCTTTCAGTCATCAATGCTCACATTCAGCGACACACAGGAGCTCTTTCAAGCTGGGCACCGTTTCCTTCACAACAACCAGGAATCAGAATCAGAAAAACTTTAATAATCCCAGGGAGAAATTAATTTCTTTACATTACTCCATCTGTAATAGAGTGACTATAGGACACAATTTCATACAATATATATAGTTAGGGAGTCCCCGCTCCATCTCGCCATCAGTTTGGGGGTCCTTGGTCTGGAAAAGAAGACCCCTGTTCTTGAGGGTTTTACTATCCATGTAACTTGTTTGTTAAACCTGCCTGGTATAATTTTCCAGGATTCCTTTTTAGTATGTATTGAAATGGAATTTCAAATGGAAAAAATTATAAAAAAAAAACAAAAAACATTTGCACCTTAAAGACTACTTTCCTATTTTTCTTTTAATAATTCCTCATAAAAAAGACCATTCAAGCAGCACATTTTTCCTGATGTTTTTGAGAATATACTGTAGGGTTGAAAGCTGCAGCTGCTACTAGTGTGAAGTGATGGACAGCAACAAAGCATTAAAGCAACAATGGGGAAATGCTGTCCCCTCAATGCTAATGTAAACCCTGGTTGGATAAGGATTCAAAACTGGATATGAAGATGAAATCTGACGCACAGTTTCAGAGTTACAACTGATAAAATAATTGCTGTCTGTGGTTCTACAGTAGGCTATGGTGTAATTGAGCAATATATGAAAAAAAAAAAAAAAAAAGAACTATGAACTAGTTAGTTTTTTGGAATTGTGAACTATGAACTGAACTAGTTCATTTTAAAATGTGTGAACTGAACTTTGAACTAGTTCACGTAGAAAGAGAACTTTCCCAACACTGCAAACAGGCAACAGGAACCAGCAAGGGGAAAGCGGATGGTTGGAATTTTCAATTTACACAAGAAATTTGCTGCATTTGTGTCCAGTATAAATGCACCGTAAGAAAGCAATATATGAATAATCGATTTGCATTTATCTAGGATTTCTATCTTTGAAAAGATCTAAATATATTTGACTGTGGGCTGGTCCTAATCCCCAGATAAAGTAGACAGAGCTCAGTATTTTAAAAATATATAAAAAGATAATATATATATAGATAGATAGATAGATAGATAGATAGATAGATAGATAGATAGATAGATAGATAGATAGATAGATAGATAGATAGATAGATAGATAGATAGATAGATAGATAGATAGATAGATAGATAGATAGATAGATAGATATGTAACCACCCGCGCAAGGATGAAACAAACTCAGTCCTAAAAATATACGTTCTTTATTAAACAAATAGACAGAAAATCCTTTACCTCTCCTTCTACGAAACTGATAGCCTAGGGTAGACAATATAATATTTAAACTCTGACATTAGTGGATGGCGGACAAACCCGCATAACCAGAACCAGAAAAGTCGCACACTTATAAAGCTTCACAGCAATCAGGTGAAAAAAACACTGCACACGATCACCACTCAGCACTGCAGACGATCAGATGCAATATAACATTGTCTACCAGCTCACAGCCTCGTGGGAGAGTGAACAAGGAGAAAACAAACAGATCAATGAAAAAAAGATAAAAAAAAAACAAAACAGTTAGTCCGCCCTCACAAGTAAACAACGGGACCAAAGACATCAAACAGGGTCGGACTAACTAAAAGAAACAAAACATAAACCTAAGGACAGCAGGAGCAACAAAAAACATCTCTGTAAACAAACAGAAAACACCAAATTACAAAAATAATGCAATCAAAATATTATTTTAATAACTACCTTAAAATCTCTAAAAATACCTGTATCGCGTACACCACCCTCATCTGCCTGTATACACAGCCTGGTCTAAAAAACCCACAGGGCCTCCTAACAAGAAAAAGAATGATTAAAATTTACATTCGTCATAATAAAAGTTCAATATAACCCACACTCTAAAAACACTCACCCACATTCTTGACAAATCTACGTGTGGAACCTAGATACGTCTCGGCGTCCCATGGAAACTGACACCTTTTAAGAAAGTTTGCAGCTTCCGCTTTTATACTGCTTGGACCACGCCCACCATACCACCTGTAACAGATAGATAGATAGATAGATAGATAGATAGATAGATAGATAGATAGATAGATAGATAGATAGATAGATAGATAGATAGATAGATAGATAGATAGATAGATAGATAGATAGATAGATAGATAGATAGATAGATAGATAGATAGATAGATAGATAGATAGATAGATAGATAGATAGATAGATAGATGTAACGTTGATTTTATTGGTGTTAAATTGTCAGTGCTTTCTGGAAAAATAAACCCTAGACAGGGTGGGACTGGAATACTTAAGAGCTACTATACGTCTCCTGTTTTCACTCTGAATACTTAAACTTGCAATGATCCTGGTTGCCCTTAGAGAAAATGTAATACCAACAACTCCAACAAAGCCTGGTGAGAGATACAACAGTGTCAAGCAAGTAAGAAAACAGAGAATCAAAAGCTCCAATGCTTCTGTGCATTGATTTTTTTTCTCACCCATCTTTCTACTTTTTATGCATCAATGTTTTGTTGTTTTGTAGTATATTAGATTTTTTGCTTTTGGGATAAAGTGGAACTAAGAGGATTATGGGAGCCTGTAAAAGGTGTGAAAAGTGTCTTGTATGTTGACCACAAATGTCAGCAAAAGTGCCCTTTACAAGCTAAATTAATATAGTCAGCAGATGTAAACAAATCATTTCCAAAATCCAATCATCTGTTGTGCTGGAGATAAGTGGCTGTGCTGCAGAAGAATTGCAAATGGCTACTTATATATAGATCTTTGAACTACAGAACTATTAACTTACTGGGGTACATCAGGCATGAGTGTTTGTGCCTTTGGGTGGGGGAACCATATTTTGCTCACTGTGTTGATGCAGCATTGTCATATTTTGCTGCTTTATTTGCCATTTGAAAAGTTAGTTTTGTATGTTAAGGTGTCTCAAGATTTCTCCCCAAAGCGTCTTTTTGTCATAACATGCCTTGCGCTATTTGTCTCAGAAAGACTGCGCTGTTTCACTTCAGACACCTCATATCACAACAGCATGCATGGCCTTGTAGCATCTCAGCACTCAAGCTGGAGTTGCCATAGCAACGGGTGGTTAGAGGGGTTATTTTTTGTGTTTGTGAACATATTGAGGAGATGATGGGGAAAAGATGACTTTATAATCAGACAGTTACAACCCGACAACTCTAGGTTTTTGAAAGCCTGTCGAGTAGGGACAGATTTGATTTTCTCAACACTAAAACATACCAGGACACTGATATAATCACCATGAGAATGTGTCTGCATTTTTTGGTTGCCATCTATGAATGAATGGCTCCTTTTGCAGCAGCACACACAACAAAAACAGGCTTTCTAAGAGGGAGATGTGACTTCATGGAGGGGATGTGACAGCACAACTAAGAAGAAGTCAGTTAATATTAAGAGTTAATACACCTCTTTCATTTCTCATGTTATTTTACAATGTGACTGAAAATTTAAGGTGTTTTATTAGAATTTTAATCAATAAACCAAAGAAAGTAGTGCATAATTGTGAAGTGAAAAAGCTGTTAAATGAGTACTTCATTGTCCTGAGCAAATACTTTCTGTTTTCACATACTGTTGCCATTTTTATATCATGTTTACATTATTTGTTCATTACTTGTTTTTATTGTGCTTTTAATTTCCTTCTGCTGGCCGTTTAATTAATGTAAAGGACTTTGATCTGTCTTTTTACTAAATTGTGTTATACAAATAAAATTCCCTTGCCTGGTCTATGTCAAACAGCTTTGTACATGTATGTTTCTACTGTAACTTTTTGTAAATAAGCTTCAATAAGCACACTTGATCTGAGAAGATCGAGCGTCTCTGGAAATCCTCCAAGCTTAAAATGTACAGAACTCACCTTGGAGACTCAATTTTTTTCCCTAAATCAGACTATTAAGGAGGGGAGGTCTAAATATTTTGCTACACTTATATAATCTAATGAGAGAAATCCTAAAGTGCTGTTTGCCATTGTTAACACTGTGGTGTCCCGTTGCTGCAGCCCCCTCTGTGCTTTGTACTGTAAGGTTGATAGAAGGGCTATTCTGAATGTCCTATAAAAGAAGATTGGCGACACAACGAATAAGATTAAACCTTCTTCCCTAATTAGAACAAGTTCATATCAACCTCCTTTCCAAGCCTGGTCCACTTTAAAAGAGGCATTACAGAGTTTTCTGATGATACTGCCATCTCTGGCCAACAAACAGAACTGCAGCACTTTTGTGCTCATTCCTGTAGCTTGTGCTCAAGTTTTTTTGTTTTTTTTTACTTTTTTCACCTAACGCTAAATTGCCATTGGTGTCTCCGTTGAACTAGATGCTGGTCATATCTGAGTTTCCACAAATCCATCTTTAATTATAGACGCACTGACACTGAACTACTGAGGTGTCAGTCTGCCCATCAAACAATGTTTTAGTCATAAAACAGTCATATAAAAAGGATATTTTAAATATTATATTTGTCAATAAAAACTGTAATCCTGTGTCCCTTGAAAACATCTAATAATATTAAATAATAATAATAAACATACAGACTGGACCGAAGACCCGGCCTGCAAAGAACCAAACCGGTGCCTCCTGAATCCGGTGCCTCGGATTCAGGAGTCCAATCTTTTATGTAAGAGACTAAAAACCCTGGTCAGTAAGGAAATTACAGTTATAATCATTCAACTGATAATGATTAATTAATTTTACCTTTGATTTGAATGACCTAATTATCAACTAAAACTTCCAGTTGTAGTTATTTAATATAATCATAGTCTTCTGGTAAATTTGCACAACATTCTTTATTCTTTATGAAATTACATTTAATAACTGATTCATTAATATGTCAACATTATCACATGAAACAAACAGACAATGCTTACATTTCAAAACAAGGATATGTTCTTAAAACACCTTATTTACTTAGACTGTTAGTGCGATTTGCTCTTTAAATTACCATTTATATTAATTTATATTGGCTAATACTTCAATAAATAATTTCAATAAATTATCCTTAATTCCGCATTCCAAGCAATCAATAGATCCACAGTAATCACAATATACCATACAATACAGGCTCAGAAGATGTCTGGAGTATGATGGACAGAAGCCAGTTATTTAATTTTTGTTGCAGTTGTTTCCTTCTGAGGATTTAATGACATATTAGATGTACCCTATGTGACAGAGTGTGTGTGTGTGTTTGGTGTCCTTCTCTAGGCAATTGTGACAGCAGGTCAGGAGTTGAGGAGATGCTACTTAGATCACACCAAGACACTTTAGTCGGCTTAAATATTTTTGGCATTTTACTCTTCTACTTATATGGGACTGGGTCGAAGGAGAAGCAGTCGTAGCAGACTCCCAGACTTCTCTTTCACCAGAGATTACCTCTAGTTCCCCTGAAAAAAAGTTTGAGTGCTCCCTCGCCAGCCCAGAGATTTGGGCTATGTTCACACTGCAGAGAAAAATGAACCCAAATCCAATATTTTTCCCTGAAGTTCCTCAAATAAGATATTTTCATTACTGTGTGAGAAGTAAATGGAGTCTGACTTTTTCAAATCCGACCAGGGCCACATTTGTGTGTGGTTTTAAATCTGATACAGGTCATATCTTTTGGAATTTTAATGTTGCCTAAACAGACAAGTGACCAATATCAGAATGAGTATGACGAGGATTTCACACAGTACTGAGAGAGTGTGAACAAAAACACTTACAACAAGCATGGAGGACAGGGTAGAAAAAGGTGTACAGTGGAGGAACAACAGAATTTTGGAATTAATAAGCATTTGGGTGGACACAACAATCCAAAAGAAACTTGAAAGGTCGTACCATAACCGGGGAGTTGACTTTGACACTGCAACTACATATTTGAGATGTCACTGCCACTGCTCCTCCAAAAGCCATGATAAATAGTTTGGCTCTCTTACTCCTCTGTCTCCTTTTCTGCATTGCTGTATCATCCAACTTCTTCCACTGCTTAACAGCTTTAAAATCCATCCTTAGACACTGACTTCTGCAACATCTTGTTATTGTTCTTCTTTTCATGTGGGTCACTTCTCCTAGCGTGGTTTGGAATCAGAATTGAGCATTAAGACGTGAAGTCTGAAAGTAAACATAGTCTTTCCAGCCTGTTTTGGGCCTGGAACATCTCCTGAGGGAGATGACCAGAGGGCATCCAAGACAGATGGCCAAGCCACTACAGCTGACTCCACTTGATGTGGAAAAGAAGGCTCTACTCTGAGCCTCTCCCAGATGACCGTGCTCCTCACCCTATCGTTAAGAGAGAGCTTGGCCTTGCTGTGGGGAAAGCTAATTTTGGCTGCTCTCACTTGGGATCTGGTTCTTTTGGTCACAATCCTGATCTTGCCATTTGGTGAAATCAAACAGGATAAACTGCACAACAGAGAGAAGTCCACAAGTAAAAATCAATAACAACAAACCATATATTACCCTCACTGACAGAGTAGTAGGAACAGAAGTTCCAATAAACAAGCAGTGCTCAAACCACAGAGATTTCTTATTACATCCTGCTTTACTGTATTGTTTGCTTTAAGTGCAAGAGAAGCATAAGGTTTTTTTTACTTGCAGGCTTGTTTGTCTAGCATTACAGCATCTCATAACAGTAATGCTCTCAAGGATCATTCTTGTTCTCCTCAGTATACATGCATTACCCAGTGATATATTGCAATGATGTTTTTCTCTTTGCTCAGCTTATTGCTCCATTGGTGTTTTATATATAATATGATTACAGATCCACCCATCCATCCATTTTCCATCATGCTTATCCCAAGTGGGGTCGCAAGGGGTGCTGGTGCCTATCTCCAGCTGTCTAAGGGCAAGAGGTGGGGTACAACGTAGACAGGTCGCAAGTCCATTTCAGATGATTACAGATTAGAAAAATATTTTGCAGATCCTGAGGAAGGATATGCATTTATCGATTGTTCTATCTTGTTAAAATTTTAGATTAATACGATGCCAGTTAAAGACGTAGCTGCAGATATGCATGAATCCCATTTAGTAACATTCACACAGCACAAACTT